TTGAACAACGATTATAAAATCTTTGCAAAAATTATTGCAGAAAGGGTGAAAAACTATTTACAAACGGTAATTTCTGAAGATCAAGCGGGCTTTTTACCCAAAAGGCAGATTAGAGACAATGTAAGAATAGTAATGGACGCAATTGAATATTATGAAAAGCACCCAGAAAAAGAAGTAGCTTTTCTGTTTGTTGATGCAGAAAAAGCTTTTGACAATCTTAATTGGAATTTTATGCACCAGATGATGGAAAAGATTGAAGCGGGACAACATTTTAGAAATTGTATTGAAGCTATCTATTCTGAACAAAGAGCTAAAATAAATGTGAATAAAGAACTGACAGATAACTTCAAAGTACAGAAAGGAACAAGGCAAGGTTGTCCGTTATCACCGTTATTATTTATCTGGGTATTGGAAATACTTTTACAAAAAATACAGTACGATCAAGAAATAAAGGGCTTGACACATAAAGGACACCAATACAAATATCGAGCATTTGCAGACGATGTAATGTTTATGGTGGAAAACCCAACAGAAAAATTGACATTGCTTTTTCAAAAAATAAAGGAGTTTGGAGAATTGGCCGGCTTTTACGTAAATAAGAATAAAACAAAACTTATATGTAAAAACATGATCAAACAAAAACAAGTGGAACTACAAGAACTGGTACAATGTGAAGTAGTTAAAAAAACAAAATACCTTGGAATTGAATTAACGGCAAAAAATATAGACCTATATAAGAATAATTATGAGAAATTATGGACTAAGCTGACTCAAGATTTTAAGAAATGGGATAAAATGAACTTATCACTGATGGGAAGAATATCAGTTATAAAAATGAATGTCCTACCACGTTTGATGTTCCTGTTCCAAACAATACCAATTCTGCATAAAACGGATTTGTTGGCCAAGTGGCAACAAGAGTTGTCAAAATTTGTTTGGGCAGGCAAGAAACCAAGGATCAAAATGAAAATACTTTGTGATGCCAAAGAAAGAGGAGGTCTACAAATGCCAAATCTTAGACTATATTATGAAGCGGTTTGTCTAACATGGATGGATCAATGGGTGAAGCTTGAAAATGACAGATTGTTGGGGTTGGAAGGGCATGATTGTAGATTTGGCTGGCATGCATATTTATGGTATGACAAGATAAAAATGGACAGTTTTTTTAAACTTCACTTGGTGAGAAAAGCTTTGTATATGGTATGGACAAGATATAAGAAGTACCAGAGTGACTTAAGACCATTGTGGATTGTACCAGTAGAAGTGTTGATATCTTACTCAAGACAGCGAGGTAGAGACTGGTTGCCATATAGAGATTTAATTAAAAAAGAGGGAACAGAGTGGGTAATGAAAAAGCAGAATGAAATTGAATATGAATATGAGTGGTTGAAATATATGCAGATTTATGATCTTTTTAGATCTGACAAAAAAAACTATGGTTTTAGAGAGGAAAAAAATGAAATTGAAAAGGTATGGGAGAGTGGAGGAGGAAAAAATATTTCTAAAATGTATAAGGTGTTGTTAAAATGGTATACTGAAGATGAAACTGTTAAAGAACAAATGTTAAAATGGGCTATTAATATGAATAAGGAAGTGGATATGGAAACTTGGGAATATTTGTGGAAAAACTCTATTAAGATCTCGACATGTACTAATGTTAAAGAAAATTGTTATAAGATGATGTATAGGTGGTACATGACACCTAAGAAGATTGCAAATATGAATCAAAATATGTCAAACAAATGTTGGAAATGTAAGAGGCATGAGGGCTCATTTTATCATATGTGGTGGACTTGTGAGAAAGCTGTAGACTTTTGGACAAAAGTCCACAATGAAATGCAAAAAATACTGAAATGTTCTTTTAAAAAAGCACCGGAAATTCTGCTTTTGGGACTCAAAATGGAAGAAGTCAATACGACTAAAAAAACTTTACTCTGGTACCTGATAGTGACAGCGAGAATGATTTATGCTCAGTTTTGGAAGACAGAAAAGGTACCAGAGGTTGAAGAATGGATACAAAAAGTTCTGTTCATGGCACAAATGGATAAGATTACAAAAAAACTGAATAACAAAGAAGACGATGAGTTTTTTGGAGAATGGAATGATTTTAAAATTTATCTGGAAAAGAACTGGGATGTGAAACAAAACTTAATATGTTTAGATCAATATTAAGTCAAACGATGTTATCTTTAGATTGTAATGATGAGAAACTGATATTGTTGATGATATGAAGTAATTTGGAGCAGGGGTGGAAGCATTGTGGGAAGCCATTGGAGGGAGGGGAGGAACTGGGAATGGGGTAGACAATTGATAGAATGAAATGTTTTATATGTTGTATTCCTGAGAAAATAAAATTTGTTTACCAGAAAAAGAAGATATATCCTGCTTCCTGGTCCAAAGCACAGTTCTTGTGCCAGCAGCTCCAAAGTGGGGTGCCCCCAGGAAAATCACACAAGCAGACACTGGGGCAAGGCTGCAACCCCTCCACCCTCCTCTTTGTGCTGAGCCTGGAGGAGATGGAGTTCAATGATGAGGAGGTGGACCAAAGCACTCAGGCTGCTGAGCCAGGGGTGAGAGAGGTGAGGTGGCCTCGGAGTATGATGGTGCAGCTGCCCAGATGAGCTGAGGCACCGCTTTCTGTCCCCACCCTAGGGCCCTTCTTGACATTCACAGCTGATATTGTGGATCATTTCCACACCCTGAACCCCTTGAGATGAGCTGTGGCAGCCGGGTCAGTTGTCCTGCAGATACACAGGGTGTCATGGAGTCTCCAGGGCCAGCAGCTGAGGATGAGGCCACGGAGCAGGTGGACTAGACAACTTTGGAAGGTGGCAGAGTGTGGGAGCAGTGGGGAATGGGGAGGGTGGAGGTGGGAGAGGCAGACAGCAACCTCCGGAGCTGGGTGGTGTGGCCGCTGGTGGCCCTGGCAACACTGGGGACTCTGGGCCCTCGCCTGGGTTCCAGGCACAGGGACTATGGCCAGCTCAAGCCATCCCCCCGCCCTCTCTTCCATATGGGCGGCGATCAAGTGGAAGCGGCTGGTGACCCTCCACAAGTGGCAAGATGCTTTCTCCAGGAGTCACCAGTGCATGGAAGGGCTGGCAGTGTCTGTGATGGCAGCTGCCAGGCACCTGGAGGGGCTGTTTGCTGTCACGAGGGATGCCAGGTACAGACAGGTGTGCAGCAAGAAGGCTGCTGTTAACAGTGCTATGGGCCCCCATGCAACACCCCACCCCAGCACCCCTCCCAATAGGGGTGGCCCAGGGGTGCCCTTGGCAGTGTGGACAGGCTGCTGAGAGGCGCGGCTACCAGTGAGCAGAGCAGCATCTCCCCATGCCCCTTCTGAGGTGAGGGCACCTTTTGCACCATGTGGCTGAGGGCCTATGTTGTGTCCGCCTACTTGGGGTCTCTGCGGGAGGGGGATTGCTGGGGTCCTTGCCAATTCTGTCAACTGACCAGGGACTTGCAACAGGACTTGGTCCCTTTAAGGGGTGGTGGGGTGAACTGCAGGTACACAGCCAGCATCTCTAGCCTCATCCCTTTCTCCCCTGGGCTGTGACGAGCACTGGGCTAGCCCCCAGGCCTGCTGGCCTCTGATTGATTCTGCCTTCCCTGTCCAGCATGGCCCAGCCATTGCAACACTCCTGGATGGGATGCTATGGTGTGGTTGCTGTGGACACTGATGTGGCTGCAGCCTCAGAAACCCAGCTACAAACTCTTTTTCCTGCCGTCTGCTCACTAACCAAACCCTTCAGGGAGCAGAACAGTTACATTTTAGGATTGCACTGGTAGAAAATATTAAAACCAACTTGTAAAATAATACATGCACATACAGGAGGTTCAATAAGAGAACACCAAACAATGTGAAAATGTCTTCACCCACTGGTGAAAGGTAATAACAGACAGAGGAGGGAACGCTACAGTTTTGGTGCCACAAACGAGAAGGTCCTTTCTTGGATTGCCACCAATCTAGCCTCAGATGACGGAGGGCACCTGAAGCAAGGCCTCTGAAGGTCAGGAAGGGTCACATGGTGGTAGACAGTTTTTAGATCCAACACATTAGAAAAAGGCAGGAAAAATGGTGGAAACCTATATTTATCAGGAAATCCACAAATTCCAGATTTTTTTAAATCAAAACTCCTCCCCAGAGGAGTAATGTTTGAAAACAAAAGTAGCTTTCTAAGTAATAATCTATTAACATAGCTTGGTTATCAAAGAATTCTCCCCCAAGGAAGAAGAGTTTCAAGCACAGAATGTGTTGGGACTTTGGGGATTCTCAAATAAATATTGGAACATGTCATTTGGGGTTTTCCCCTCCACTTACCTGTTTGACAGCTATTGTTCCTTGTCCACTAGCTTTCAACTTTTGCCCACCCACAAGCTCTCACCCCATCCACCATGCTCTTCTGAAGCCTTCAATCACTGCCAAAGCTTGATTGCACAGAAGCCTGGGCACACAGTGCTGGGTTTTAAAATGGCTGTCTTCCATCTTCTATTCCTCATTAAAAATGTTCAGGAATGCTGCACACCTGACTTTATAGTGTCACTGTTGCAAACGTTCTATGATTCTACAGTTTACCCTATTTCTTCATGTTTTAAAGCGATTCTATTTAAAGACACCCCTGTGACAACAGGTTGAATCCAACTAGCTTTTCTGCTGGTGAAAATGGAAGGAGGGGTTCCCCTTGACCAGCAAAAAAGTTATGATGGAATCATTGGACCTGCACACACAAAAGTAATGCGGAACATGGGATGTAGTGAGGAGAGCTGGCAAGATGGAATGAAAAAGCTGGCTGTATCCAACCCGTGGTTCTCGATTCTGAACAAATCAATAAATGTATTTATATTATTTCTTGCCTATATTTTAAAATCACCAGACCACACTTCCTGTAGCCTCAGTGCCTCCACTGCTCTCTTTGCAGCACAGCACAACCCATTTATCTTCATGCTTCCCTGCCTTGAGGTATGGTGCTCCTCAGGTCCAAATAAACCAATGGTACCTTTAGGAACTGGGCCAGCATGTCCTCCTTTTTCTTATTGAGCTCCTCTTCAGCCAGCTGCTTCTGCTGCATCATGAGCAATCGCTCTTCTTCCGTCAGTGGAACCCGTTTGCGTGCCTTCTTCGGCATGGTTGCACCTAAGCAAGGGTAGGAGAAGTGATATAACAAAGTCTGGATCCTATTCCAAAGACATGTTCAGTCTAAACTACACAGAACAGAGTAGACTGGCAAATATCAGCATCAAATATCACATGCCAACATGAGTAGACCTTAGATCCCATTCATTGAGCACTATAAATCCTTTATTTATCCTACTCTCCCTCCTAGAATCTCAGGGTGATATACACAGTGCCCCCCCCCCCTCCTCACAGCAACCCTGTGATTTGGTTAGGCTGAGATATAATAGCTGAGAGAGTGAGCTTCAGAGATGAGGTAAGATTTAAGCCTCAGTTTCCCCATTTAAGCCCACTGGTTCCCCCTTTTCCTCCCTTTTTCTTTCCTTGCCTTCAGTTTTTATTGCAATCTCACTGCTGCTGGATTTCTAACCTTCTGCCTCAGGCCACAAATTTGGATCAGCCTTCTGTCTCTCTCATGCACAAGCCTTGATAGTTTTCCTACTGTGCCACCAGAGCTCTGTGACTTTGCAAAGGGTCATGTCTGATGAGACTTTGACAGCCAGAAACATCTAACTGAAGAGAGGAAGAAGCCATAGGTGAAGCGCACCTTGCCAGAGATCTGCTTGGCTCAACAAAAACACAGCCAAAAAACAAACAAACCCAGGGCATAAAACAGCATACAAACAAACTTTGAGCTGCCTAAAATGATATTTATAGAACACCCCTCTGGCTAGAAGTGGCTCATAAAACAGCTAAAGAAGAAAAAAACATCTCAATTAAAATCCTGAGTGAAAAGAAACATTTTGCCCTGGATCCTATGGAAGGTAAAATAAATGCCCGGTGAGCTTCAAGAGAAAGGACATTCCAAAGGCAAGGTGACACCTGTGAAATAGCCCTGTCTCTGGTCACCACTCACCCCACCTCTGCAGGCAGAAGCACACAAAGGAAAGCTTGAGGAGACAATCGTAATTGGCAAGCAATATGAGAGGAGGTGATACCCTGTCCCCAAACTGTTATAACCTTCAAGGATTATCAGCAGCAACTGGCACATGTAATATGGGCCTAACCTGGCAGTCCTTTCGAGAAGGGGCAGAGGTTCTGTGTTTTAACAGCTACACATTGGGCAGAAACCCACAGGGGAAGCTTTCCCCATCATGGCATTTTCATGGATTTCTGCGTATCATGAAGTTGTCACAGAGCATGTAAAAGGACATCTCTCTGTTAACCATGTTTCATTCTCTGTAGGAAGGATCCCTCCTGTGATCATGTTCTCCCTCTGTCCCACGCTTTTGAGTCTACTGGTTCTGCCCATCAGCACAAGTATGCTAGATTTGCCAGCTGCCTATATACTAATTCCCAAACAATGTGCCATAAGAGAGCTGCTAATATACCATAAGAAACAGATTAAATAATTAAAGACTTCTATGTAACAAAATGACCCACTGGCAGAATAGGCTGCCGATCATCTCTCTCAACTTCCATTCAGTCTCCACTGGAGGAAGGCAGTTTTGCTGTGTTTCTGCTTCAGGTATGACTGGCTCCTTATTCATCACAACGTAGAGATGCTGCAAAATTATCAGTCTTACACATGCCGATTAACAAAGAAACACAGGGGCAGGGGAGATAGGATCCTCTGGGGCGGACAGTTTTAATCTTAAATCCAATCTTCATGCTTTTCAGGGATAGGAGTCAAACAGGCTTTTTGGATTTTAAATTCGGAATGAAAACCTGTCTGTCAGAAGTTTGGGAAATATCTTTATTCCAGACTACAAAATTTCTCCACGTCTTTTGAATAAAATACAGATCCCTATTATGGAAATATCAACAACATAATCTTTTTGTACATTTTGAAATGTTGAGTGGCAATACCTTAAAGACAGGCAGGCAGGCAGACAGTCTGTCTGTCTCTCTCGCACACACACACACCAACACACTCGACTCTCTCTTAGGAAATGGCACTAAAATCTTTCCAGCAAGGGTCTTATCCCACCCTTGGATTTCACATGTAGTGATCTGAACTACCTCCTTCCCTCCTGCACCCCCCCCCCCTTTTGCCCTACACCACCCTCAGCCATACCTCTCTGTTTTTCCAGGCCGAGTCCTTTCGGTCTCCTAGCAACAGCGTTTCCTGGCAAGAGAGCCAGTAGGACCGAGCCAGCGTGGGAGAGTCAGAGCGCCCTCTTGGTAGAACTACAGTGTGCACAGCACTGGAGTGAAGGACTAGAGGCCAGGAGAAGAGTTTAGAGAGGGGTGCAGGAATATCACAGCTCACGCAGGGCCAAGTCCTTATCCCTTCCCTCCCCTTTTCACAGCAGCTGTGAGGGGCAATATAATCCTGACCAAAAGAGCGGATGCTGAACTGACTCTTATTTTATTGTGGTTTTAATATTTCAGTGTCAGCATTCTTTTCTCTTTTTTTGAAACCCCCGGAGGGGTATTTTTATTTTTTCAATGAGACTACAAACTATAAAGAAACATATAGGAGGGGAAACTACAACTATGGAGAAAGAAAAGGTACCCACACTAACTAAAAACCCAAGAGTGGGAGACCCCCTTCATGTTAAGCTAAATATTAGTATAAAAAGTGTTAGTAAAACAATATACTTGTAGAGGTCTTGTTTTTCACATTTTCTGTATTAGTAAATTAGTTATTTTGAGAGAACTTTCTGAGCATCTTCTTTACTTCAAAGAGCCATTTATCAGAGTCTTTCTGCCCTTACTTCGGCTTTCTGTCTCTAAAATCATATACAGTTTTCATTCCTCCCGCAGTGTCAGCATTCTTGATCTTCAGAAAGGCAGGATAGAAATGCTTTAGACAAATAAAACGAATGCTGCAGCTCCCCAGAGCACCAGCTTTTGCAGCCAACTTTGCATTATTTCTTAAACAGGGTTCAGAATTCTCTGGAAGTTATACCAACCTCAGCTCTGGAAGCCCACAGTCCCAATAACAGGATTTGGTTCTAGTTCTGTGAGGAGGGGAAAATACTGGACATCTTCCAAGGCTGAACCTGGGTACTGAAAACCAAATTCTGAGGCGAAGACCTGGTTGAACCTCTGCTGCAGTATTCCCAGCCCACCACAAACACTTGGCAAAAGTATTAATTCCCACACCTGCTTGTCTCCCTCAGACACTAATAGCTACCTTCTGCTTTAGAGGCTCTTTGGAGATGAGCAGGCTGCAGTTGCCATGACAACGGAAGCTGTCTGGTACCCGGTACTGAATAGCCAGACACTGTCCAGCCTCCACTGAAACAGCAGCAGCAGTCTAAATATAGCTGGGGATCCTCCTGTCACTGCCAGGCCAAACCCCAGACACTCCAGCATAGAAGCCTCAGTTTCAGCAGAATGTACAATCCATGAAGGCAACTGGAGTAGGTTAAAATGGGATGGTTTAGAGTTGAGAGTATTACTTAGTGAAGGGCCTGTCTTTCATGAAGAGGATGCAGTTGGCTTGCACATCATTCCAGGGCAGTGAATTCCACAGGTTAATTCTTATACAGTTATATAGCTTCTATATAGGCAACAGCTGAAGTACAATTTATTTTGTTTTTAATTTTAAATTTGTACTATTACTGCTACTACTACTACTACTAATAATAATAGTATCAAAATTATTTTTAAAAATCTTAAGAATTAATAGGCAAGAATAAATAATGCACTTCAGTTCCATCAAGCTGTTTAATCTCATTTAAAATCTGATGCCAAAAAATCTGCACACTGGGTCAAGTCCATCAAACGTATCAAATATGCCCACCGATCTCCACAGCTTTAGCAATCAGTGGTGCTGCTGAACAGATCTTTATAATGCCCAAGGCATGAGACGCTTTATGTGAAACTCTAGAAAATCTGAAGCACATGGATTTAGACTGGGCGGTTAAATACTTTATAGAACCCTATGAAAGAACAGAGCATGAAACTAGAGCAAATGGTGTTAAACAGCAAAAGTCAAATATTGTGTGAACGCTTTAGGTTGCTGAGAAGTGTTGCCTGCCCTTCCCTTGGTAGTCCATTCAAAGGGGAAGTATCTGTGGCAAAACAGCCTGCCTGAAAACCTCTTCATCCCCTACTCCCTTCCCAGTATGGTTCTGATTGCTTCACAGTGTAATCCTAAACAGAGTTACACTCTTCTAAGCCCATTGTAGTCAATGTACTGTACTGTGTTATGGTATAACCTTTTGTAGGCAACACCCTACTTCATCAAATGCAATTCATTGTATATTATATGTAATAAATATGCCTTGCAGAGGGATTGCAGAAGATTCAACACAGGAAATATCACTTTGGGCATATAAAAACATAGTTATCTGAGGAAAGCGATGTCTTTCTTGCAATAATTTAAATTAACCATTGGTCGGATTGGACTGGTTTTTGAGCAAGGGAAACCTTTACCTTTACTTTACTTAAAGTAACAAGTATTGCTTCACTTATTCTTCCATGAAGATAGTTCAGAGGGTAGCCATGTTGGTCTAGAGTAGAACAGCTAGATCAGCACCTTAGAGAACAAAAAGATTCTCGGGGTATAAGTTTTTGGGAGTCAAAGCTCTCCTTGACACCCGAAAATCTTGTCGGTCTCTAAGGTGCTAATGGACTCGAATCTAGCTGTGTCACTTATTCCAGGGGCATAAACTCGGGGGGGGGGGGAGCAGGGTTTATGCCCCCTGGGCTGCCAGGCCCTGCGGTATTTCCTGCTGGGGGCAATATGCTTCCTGGACTGTCAGGTAGCATCATGAAGCTGCTCAGACTGTCAAGTTCTTCAGTCAGTCCTGTTTGTAGCGACTTAGTGTGTTCATAGGAGGCAAAGGGCTTGTTTGGTTTGTTTGTTTTTGGAAAGATAAGAAGGGGAAGGAACCTTCAGTGGATAATGCCATCTGTGAAGAAACCCATTTTAGAAGCTAGCAATGCCTTGCTTTGGAGAAGGTGTGGTCAAGGCTCTCCTTAGGCTACTAATGAGTGGCCAAAAACTTGGGTGGAAGACTAATTCACTGATGGGACATCTTTATTTCTACAACAGCA